GATTTTCATTTCCTTTTTCTAAATCTTTATATTTTTTTTCGGTTTCCTTATCTAAACTTTATTCTTACATCTCTTCATTCTAAATTTGAATAAACTTACTATAGGTTTACTAATTCTTCCTCTTAATTCTTGATAAATTCCCCTTCTCCTTCTCGTCTTTTCCCCCAATCCTCCTTTTTCCCTGTACAGTTCCCCCACCCCCCTGATTCTCCTTTTTTTCTACGATGGTTTCCTCCCTAATCCTCCTTTCTCCCCTAGTCTCCCCCTAAACCCGTCTTTTCTCCCCTGTAGTTTTCCCCTAAACCCCTCCCCTAACAATCTCCCTATAAATCTCCTTTTTCCAAAAAAAATCTCCCCCTAATCCTCCTCTCCTCGGAACAGTCCTCCCCCTATCCCTCCTTTTCCTCCCCAACAGTCTTCCCTTTCCCAAAAATCTTCCCCCAACGCTCCGTTTCCCTTTTCCCCTCAAGAGTCATCACCCAAATTCCTCCATTTCCTCCACTTCCTTCCCTACCGTCTCCTCTAACCCTCTTTTCTTCCCGTCCGCCAGTCCCCCCGCCCCGAAGTCGTGCTGGTGCTCTCCCGCAGCCGGTCGGTCACGCCCCAGGAGTCCAGCCTGTCCGAAGCCGACGGCGCCTTCAGCCACCGCCCGGCGCTCATCAACCACGTGACGTCACCGCGGCCGCCCAAGATCCTGGAGTCACCCATGGACAGCAAGAGCCTCGTTTCAGGTGAGGATGCGAGTTTTATGTATATGTATATGTGTGTGTGTGTGTGTGTGTGTGTGTAATTTTCCCCCCTTACGTGTGTGTGTGTGTGTGTGAGTGGGGGGGGGTTATCTTAGTATCATTAACTTGTAATGCAGAATTAATTTTAATCTTGGTGTTATGTAATGAGAAAATAAGCAGGTTTGATATTAGTAATATATTTGGTCAAAGAATACTTTTTTTTAGTTACCCACTTCTGATATAAAATATTCTCCGTCAGTGGCTCAACCAGCCATTTTCATGTAATAGGTTATGTTTTCTGTACCAGGCACTGCTTTAGCTGAGACAGCCCCAAGCATATTGATAAAAAAAAAATACATTGTCACGATGTAAAAGATATTTTTGCTCTCTTTTAAAAGTCTTGGCAATCACTTCTGCAATAGATATCTTTTTTAACTCTTTTATAATTCCAAGTTGTCTTTAAAATCACCAAGCTGTTACCATTGAAAGCAAAACTTTTTCTCTCAGTGCTGTCAGCTTCATTATGTGAAATTATTAGTAAGCATTTTCCGCCCTTTTGGAGGCAAAGCAAGACCTGTTTAGTACAGAATGTTCATGCTTGATTTATTGACTAATCTTTTGTTTCAGCATCTAATGGCATTAGAATCTGCCCCACATATATTGCTTCATTTCAGCTAAATCATTTCTAGCACAAAGTTACCTTCACTGTCATGTCCATTAATCGAGATGAAACTTAGGGACTAACGTGAGCTTCTTACTTACAGACACAGATTCCGGCCTGGTTCCCCGAGGGCCTCCTCTCACCATCACCCTGGTCAAGGATGGGGCTGGACTCGGCTTTTCTCTGGAGGGCGGAAAGGACTCTCCCCTGGGTGACAGGCCTCTCACCGTCAAGAAAGTGTTTAGTGGTATGTTATCAGACTGTGTGGTTGAAGTAATCCCTTGATTTTATTACTAGTAGATGAGTTTTTCAAGTTTTTTGAAGTATGCTTTTGAAGGGAAATTAATGCCAGACATTTCTAAGTTGCAGGTAGATCATTTAAGTTTAAGTAAAATGTCAGAGATTCTTTATGGCTTTACCCATTTGCTGCTACAAAGAGGCTGAGAAATATTCATTGGAGATATTCATTTTCCAGTCAAAAATTAAAGTATTTTTTTCACCTTATAAGAGTATGAATAAAAAAATTTGTGTTTGTTTATGAAGAAACCAGTCAGCAAGATGGATTTTTTTCTCTCTCTCTCTGAAGAACATTTCTGCCATTTACTCTGGCAATATCAGTTTATATAGTTTGTTCAGCCAAAGGGCCAATGTGTTAGCAGTTTACCCTCCGGGAAACTCTAGTGCATTATGCATTTTTCTACCATTATACCAAGAAAGTAGATTATGTTCTCGGTATCTAACTGTCGTGACTTTCTCCTCAGGTGGTGCAGCAGACAAGGGAGGAATCCTCAAGGTTGGAGACGAGTTAGTCAGCGTGAATACAGTGGATGTCACCAGCATGGCTCGCATCGAAGCGTGGAATTTCTTGAAAAAGCTCCCCGACGGCACAGTGTCCCTTGTGCTAAGGCAGAAGGTTGAAGAGACACAGATGAAGAGTGAAGAGTAACAGCTAATAATGTTATATTACTGTAGACAATATAATTCATTTAGTTTTGTAACAACTTGAAGAATAATCAAATTTCAGTATTACTTCCAAGAGTTAGAAGAAGGACTTGTCTGCCAAGTTGGACCAGTTTGGCATCGCAGAGTTTTTATTGAATGAGAGTGAAAAGGGTCTGAGATTGTGGAAGATAAAAGCAAGGATAATCAGTGATTCAATTGTGCTAGCTTATATGTTGAGATAGTTAGGGTATCACTTTTGTAAGTGTTTTGATACATACTAATAACAGTACTTTGACTTAATGATTTTTTTTATAAGATTACTAGGTGAATCATTGCATTTATACATAACTATTCTGTACTTTGACACACTGTTAGGAGAAAAGCATTTTGTAGCATAACAAGATAAGAGTCAAACTATATTTGATACGGTATAGAATTATAAGTATCTTGTGGATTTTATGCATTTATAGCTTACAAGGACAGAAGTTGCAAGTTGAATAAACAGAATAACAGCAACATAAGAAAGGTCAAAGTACATTTGATTGATTAAGGGCCAGGACTTCACCTAATCAATAGGTTGCTTCAAGTCTGTTTTACATAATGTGTACTATGTAATAGTATACAGTATTTAAGAATAAGTGATTGTGATGTATATTAAAAAAAAACAAGAAGTGAGAGAGATGCTGTACACTGTCGAGTTAGTCTCATTAGCAATACTGGAAACCTTTTTAAAAAACCGAAATACATTTGGTGGAGGCTTTAGCCAATGATAGCCTAGTTGGGGAGTGTGGTGCTAGGGCTGTGGCAGGGTGATGGTGGTGCAGCCTTTCCAGGATTCGCCCCGCCCGCTGCCGTTCACCGGGCGGGCGCGAACGTCTCGAGCTGGGGGGTGTGTTTACCCAAGAGCTGGTGTGGCTGCTGAATCTGCCGACCCTCATCTGTGATATTCTCCTGTTGACAGACTGCTTTGTGTATAATTGTACTCTCCCATACACCACGATGATTTGTGCTCAGCTGCTCATATATAGCTTTTGGAAGGCTAGGTAGTCGTAGCAGTTTTCTCACTTGGATGATTTCTTCTATATTTATATAAATATATATATCTATATATCTTTTAATGATCTTTTTTCACACAATGTTATTTTAGCTATGGATATGAGGATTTAGTATGTAACGGAGGGTTGCGCTTCTGTAACAGTACTGAGTCTTCTTTTCATTTCCTCTGCATTATCTCTGTGCAGAAATATATTTGTAAAAAAGAAAAAGAAAAAAAAACTTCACAGGTTGGAAAAAATGTATAAATCTCTAAATTTCCTTAATTACCACAAAGCAGCCGCCAGAAAGTTAGTGAATGGTGTATTTTGTTCGAGCAAAATAGACCCTTTCTTAATTTTCCTCTTTCTATGTCATATTGTATCCCAGTAAGCACGCAGCTGCTACAAAGATGCATTAGAGGAATCTACACATGGAAGTAGATTCTTTGTAAAATATTGTACATACTGTTTTTATGATTTGTATCATTACATATAGTTATAATCCTCTCTCCTTTTTTTTTATTAACTGAGGATTCATTATATTACTTCTATGAAATATATTACAATTTTTTTTTCCTTTTGTTGTGCTTGGCAGAAAAAAAGAAAGAAAAAAAAGGCTAAACATCCCCTTCCCCTTTTTTTTAATCTTTTTTTTCTTAATTTTTTTTTTACTTACAACGTTCGCTATCGCTGCATTGCCCAGTCGGACTTGTGGTTAGAGTAGAGCCGCAGGGGAGGGCCACGCGCTGTGGCACTCCTGTGGCACATCCTTGCTTTATAATGGGTTTTTGCTTTAATAGATATGTTGGTTATACTCTCTATTGGGTTATCCATTGTTACTATTATTATTATTATTATTATTAATAATGTAAAGATGAAAAAAGTATTAGTAAGTACATTATCGTGTATATAAAATCACCGTAGTTCAAGAAAACATTTAAAAAAACAAGGAAAAAAAAGAGCCAATGTTACTATATAGTTAGATCCTGAGCTTGTACGGGAGAGTGGACCTAATAAATCTGATCATGCCATACTATCCTCTTTCATTTTGCCTCCTTACACCTCAGGAATTTTGTGCCTTGTGTTACGGGAAATGTTTATGAGGGATCCATGTGTCGGTATGTAATTCAGGGATGAAAAAAATATGATTAAAATATGATGAAAATAAGGGTGAAGTAAATAAGAAAAAAAATTATAAACACAGAACAGGCTATTCCCTTTATGGATACCTATTTCATGTATCAGAAACAAAAAAGACTTCTGAAAATGCATTTAAGTAATATCAGTATGATTTTACACAATGTATTACTGATCTGTTAATGATTTATATAAAAGAAAACATTGATTACAACAAAAATACAGGTAAAAAAAAGAATTATACAAAAATAACAGCTAGTCTCCAGTCATGCATAACTATTTTTTCACAATGCAATAAAGATAACTTAAAATTCACATGTAATTGCAAATACAAAGGGAAACTGCTTTTTCTTATAATGCCAATGAAAAGAGAGACATTGAGAGAGAGAGAGAAAGACAGAGACAGACAGAGAAACAGAGAGAGAGAAAGAGAGAGAAAGAGACAGACAGACAGACATATGTGGCATAAAACAATTATATATTCACAAAAATGATGAA